AATGCCCGATGAATCGAGGAACGAGGAAACAATGCAGGAAGAGTAGGGAAAACGTAGGAAAAGTTCCTGACTAGAACTGGAATAGAATTTATTTTGAGTTCGGATCGGAGCAGAAAACTTCGATGAATCGAAAGCAGAAAACCAAATAGGAAGATAATTTGTTGATAATTGAAACAAGAACCAAAAATCAGAATATGCACGCACGCATATAGCAGTAAAATCGAAGAAAAAGGAAACTAAAACTAAAACTAAAATTAAATTAATCAGTCATGTTCCTAGTTAATCAAGCTGCAAACCAATCATGGATATCCGTTTTTGTTTTTGTTGTCGTTTGTTTTAGCCTTAAGTGATTTGTATAGTCTTGCACATAATCTTGCTAGGGCATAGGGTGGAACTCAAACCAAATATTTTAGAAAGTAAATGAAGTGAGGAATTGCAATTGGAATGCTAGGCAAATCTTGATTTAGTTTAGTTCGGTAAGTAGTCAAGCGAGCAGGCAGGAACCTAGTTTAAATCAAAACCCATCGAAACCCGTAACCAAAACCAAATTTTAGTCAATCCCGCATTGAAAATGTAGACAAAATGAAATCAGCTAAGCGCCAGATATAGCCAGAGCATAGCAGAACATGCCATCGATTTGTATTTTATTTTGTGCCTTGGATTAGCCCTAAAACCACATATAGCGAGTAGAATATATAGTTATTTAGGGATATATGTACATACGCGTATCCCATCACTTGCCTGGCATACCCAGCCTTTTGGGTCGCTCGCTGCAAGCATTGAAAGTGCATATAAAGTTATTTTTATGTTGATCTATTACTATTTTTATTATGATTATTATTATGTTTTATTCAATTATTATTATTGTCATTATTTGAATGTTTAGTTTAATGTGTGTGTAATTGAAAATATTATATGTATTTAGTTGTTTTAGACCAAATGTTTCTCCGCAGCTCTACCCCTGCGCAGGGGTAGCCGCTCGGAGCCAAAGTGAAGTGAAAGTGAACGTAAACGAAAAAGAAAACAAAAACCAACAAATTTTATTGAATAAATCTTTTGTTGTTGTGATTTTAATTATAATTTGTATTCGTTTTATTTCATATTATTGCATATTTTAACCTTTGTATTTTTTGCTAGCCCTGATTTTGTGTAAGTATTCATCGATCGTTCGATCGTGCCTTTGTTTGTTTGTTTTTTTCTTTTTGTTAGTTTCCTTGGAGACAGACATGGACGAATGAGCGACGCGACCAAACCTCATCATCATTTAGGGAAACATAAAACACAGTTTACAATATCCAATCGATCGATCGTTAAAGATGTAATTTCTAACCTGTTTTTTCGTTTGCTTTGCGCTTCCCCACCAGGTGGAGAATGGCGATCAGCTGGAGACGATCACAATGTCACCCGGCATGCACCAGATGATGATCCAGGGAGGTCCGGGGCAGGAACCGCAGCTGGTGCAGGTCGTCAGTCTGAAGGATGCCACCCTCCTGAGCAAGGCCATGGAGGCCATCAACTCCGGCAATGTCAAGCCCGAGGATACGATCATAATGGAACAATAGCTAATGCCCATTGAGGTCATGATATCTCCGGAGCAGAGCCAGGACCCGGAGTGATCATACCTCAACATACCCTTCTCTCCACAATCCTCCCCGTAGCGTAAGCCGTGAGCAGCCTCGAGCAGCGTGCCGAGCCAGAAAAAAAAGTATTTAATAAGTACCTGAAAGGTGTTGCTAATGAACGAATCTCATCTGGACTCTGCCTCGCCTCGTCGGCGGATGCTTTCGGCTACCACCCTATCCCCCACCCAATCACCCAAACCGTCTCTAGTCGCGAATCCATCTAGTCAGGAGAGCAGATTCTATGTAAAAATAAAGCAGTCTAGTCTTCGCATAGGAAATAATCTTAACTTAACTTTAAATCCTTGCATTAACTCACATTTTTTTTCGAGTGCCGTTTTTTTTAGACATTTTTTTTATGTGCTCTATAAATAGTTCAATTCAATGCGGGGGAGCTTCCCTCAGGGGCTGGATACTCATAGCTATATCGTAATATACATATGCCTATATATAAGCATCGTAAACGGTTAACCGAGTGTACAACTCCATATACGATAGAGGGAGCAGCGTGTATATGGAAGATCTCCAGGTAACCATGGGGTAGATCGTCGCCGAGATCATTCAGATCAGCCATATATATATATATATATATATATAGAGAGAGAGGTCAAATAGGTCATCAAGATAGCGGACATACATATGGTACGGTATGGTATACCCTCATACCGGTGTTTGAGGCGTTTTTGCAATAATTAACCAAATGGATATTTAACGAATGAGATTACAAATTAATTATACAACTTAGGAAAACGGAAACCAAATGCAATGTAAACAGACAACATCACTTTAAACATAATTAAATTACCGAATTAATTAATTATTAACGAATACAAACCTATGAATAATTATCGAATAAACCAAACCAAACTGTACGACAAACCAGTAGAAAGACCAGCCACACCAGCAGTTGGATGGGGACTGCACTTGGCGTAGAGATGCTCCACAATCGATTGAGTCAGTCGATTATCCACGAGTCACGAGCTTGTTTCATAAGCCCTGGGCAGGATGTGGCTCTGCTCCATGTGCTGCTCCCGAGCCCAGCGAAGCAGGAAACTGAGTTACGAAATAATCCGGAAGCCAGACATAAACAGAGGCCGACCAGGGGACGACCGTCGCTTTTTCGAGCGATCACAATATTTGATCGAATGTCGTCGTCCCTCTTGCTCTCGCTCACTCGCCATGTCTTTCAGTTTCAATGCGAAAATTATAGGCCCGACTTCCAAATATTAGAGAGAAAGAGTCGGCAGCTCCATGGCCAGCCCCATAAATATCATAAGTTCATGTAGGCACAAAACTAGTTTTCCACCTCTTCTGCTCACGACTCCCCAGCTCTAGCCCCCGAAGGCGATGCATCCGATTCCGAAGCGTGCAGTTGACCCGCTGCTCCAGTACACCACTAAAAAATGTCTTGTTTGTGGAGCTTCGGAGCTTTCGGAGACGTCTCGCCAGCTTGCCTGCCTCCCTGCCATAGGTCGAGGCTGTGGTGCTTCTTCGTTGCCAGTTTTCACTTATACGACTTTGGCTGTTGCTGGGCACACTGCCTGCAAAGCAATTTGAAATTTTATATGCTACTCGCAAGAGGTATTAAAAGGGGAATTTCTTGATTAGTTAGATATAAAACCAAGAGAATCATTTATGTGGAATCTTTTGGCACTTCATGGAGACCTCATTTTGTAGAGAATAATCCCACAAGTTGGAGTCGTGGTGCTGGCCACGGTGGATGTGTTTTTTTTCTTGTATTGTTGTTTGACAGCTAGCTGCTGTGGCTGTGTCTCTGGCCTCGTGCCTAGCTGATCTAATCCGATCCAAGCTCTTTAGCCTGTACGTGTACGCTGTCCACTTGGCTCTTTTGCGATCTCCTCGAGACTCATACTCATACCCATGTCCCCCGAGCAGAAGGCCCATCCACATTTCGCAGCTCGTTTCGCATCTTGGCGCGAGTGCGTCGTGTTGCGTCTTCAGTAACTGCAATTGGTAATGCAACTGCAACTGCAACTGCAGCTACAGCTGCCACTGCGTCTTCGTCTGGGTCGTCGTTGCAATTGACGACAGTTTATTTACTTTGCCTGTGCTGCCGCCTCTTCCTCCTACACCATCCCTCTGTCGAGCACCCCTTCCGCGGGCATCTCCGCCAGATTGTGTAAGAGATGCTGATGAGGAGATTTATGAGTGTGAGTGCTTGCCACTGCCGCCGCCGCCGCTCACATTGCACTTTCGTTGGAAATTATCGCATCTGTAATTAGTGGAGTGCTGCCACGCCTCTAAAGCCGCCCTTTGCCTAGACCCCTTAATGAGGGGAAATCGTGTGATGCATGTGATCATGTGTGATGCAGCGAATATCTTTGTTAACTGAAAGAAAATGATTTGAACATGGAAAATACAACAAATATTATGACAAATCTTTCTTTTTGTTTTCTTCCGGGAATGATTTTCATATTGAGGATTGCAATATATTTCAACTTCTTGGCTCTGAGGGCAGTTCTCCAGTTTGGAGCGACTCTGACGGGTCACGCCTGTGGCTGTCCAATTTGTCTGCAAATTTAAGGCAAGCTCTTTTGGAGCACATTACAGCTGGGGGACCATTTGGGGTTTTCGGTGGCTGTGTTGGCCTGTGTTGGTGTGGCTAATGTGGAGACGTCACGCCCAAATGGTTAATGGCTGAATGCTGGCTCTGAGATCTGGGATCGGGCCAATCGTTCGACTGGCTTTGTCATCGTTTTGGGGCAAATTGCAAATGATCGGGCCATTACGGGCAGACCCACAGATGCAAATCAAATAATGTCAGCGGCAGTGGCAACAACAGCACCAGCAGCTAGCTGCAAGTTTCAAGTTGGGCCGATGCTGTTGCTGTTGCTGTGGCTGTGGCTGTGGCTGCCGCATGGATTATGTAATGGGAAAGGTGCAGCCAACTGCTTAGTCTGACTGTATGGGGGGGATGCTATGCTCATGCTGATGCTACACAAACGAACCGTTCGACCGGCCGCCACCAACGCCATACACACAGCAGCAGCAATCTGTTGCAGATGGGAAAAACGAATGGAGTCAGCGTTATGAGTTGTCTGTGGACAGAGAGTCGCCTCACTTTCGCCTGCCGTCGTCTGCTGCTTGTCCTATCCTAATTCAGCATCCCGGACCCCTATCCCTTGCGCCTAATGGCAATGATGATGATGCGGCAGCATTTGGCCCACATTGTAGCAAATGTTCGCTGGAAGAGCCTCCTCCATCCACCATCCACCATCTGCCACATGCCACTTGCCATCTGCAACTACCGAACTCCGACGCGAACAGTGAGCGTGGAAAATCGTTGCTTTTTGCAGCATTTTCAGCAGTGCTTTTCCGGTTAATGCTCAAAAGCCAAAGCCACAGCTGGGGCTGGGTATATAAGCCCGGGCCGCCGGTGGTGGTCATGTCAGTTGTGGATCCGCGGCGTTTCCACAGAGCCTATTCAAGAGAGCGCAGTACTTACTCGAAGCGTTACCAGCAATGAAAGTACGTGGACTCGGCAGGATTGTGGAATATCCGAATCTCATAGCCCAAAAACCAATCCCAAATATCACGCATACAAAACGCAACGGAACCTCGTGTTGTCTCCTTATCCCTTAGCCCTTCTTCCTTGTCCCTTTTGTTCTTTTTGTTTGGTGCTTTTTGTGAGTGAATAATCCTTGCTGATTGCTGGCTGTCTGTGTCTCTGTCTTGCAGGCCTTTGTGTGTCTCCTGCTCATCGGAGCGGCCAGCGTGACGGCCAAGCCGAAGCCTGGCGGCAGCAGCGGTGGAGGAGGCTGGTCCTCGAGCGGCGGAGGTGGAGGAGGCGGTGGCTGGTCTTCGAGCGGCGGCGGCGGCGGCGGCGGTGGATATGGTGGTGGAGGAGGAGGCGGAGGCCATGGAGGCGGAGGCCATGGAGGCGGCGGTGGTGGTGATATCCAGATAATTAAAGTAATCACTGAGAGCGGTGGAGGAGGCGGCGGTGGAGGCTGGCAATCTAGCGGTGGCGGCGGAGGCGGTGGAGGTTGGTCATCTGGTGGAGGAGGCGGCGGCGGTGGTGGCTGGTCTTCTGGTGGAGGAGGCGGCGGCAGCGGCTGCGGCGGTGGCGACGTCAAGCTCATCAAGATCATTAGCCTAGGTGGAGGCGGCGGTGGCGGCGGCGGTGGACACGGAGGTGGTGGAGGCGGAGGCTGGCAGTCAAGTGGTGGCGGCGGTGGAGGCTGGTCATCTGGCGGAGGAGGCGGTGGCGGTGGCGGCGGCGGCGGTGCCACAAAGGTTATCAAGATCATCAAGCTAAGCAGCGGTGGAGGCGGCGGAGGTGGCCATGGTGGCGGTGGCGGCGGAGGTGGAGGCTGGTCCTCTGGCGGTGGAGGCGGCGGTGGTGGCTGGCAACCAGCCGGAGGCTGGGCCTAGGACTGAATCCTCAACGGAATCCGCCGAGCAGCAGACGAAGTCGGAGCGGTGCCAGCAGTCTGTAAATACTGTAAATATCCAATAATCGTTTTGTTTTTTTTTTCCTCGTTTTAATTCTGCAATTTTACTAAATTATGAATCCATTATATGGCAAATTGCATTTGCTTGGCAAAAGTTTTGCATTATATTCTTGGAGCATGGCCAGTGGCCGAAATAAATCTCGCACCAACTTTTACTCATCTTTGTTTTCTCTAAGCGCATTCCCTCTCCAACCTGAACATCGGATTACAGTTATTCCGCAGAACTTTTCTTGTTCTTTTTTCCCCAACGCACTGCAACGCTTCGATGGTCAGGAGGACAGTGCTGCCTCTGCTGCCGTGTCAGCTATTTTATGGCTAGTTCTGGCTTTTTTCACAGATTGGTTACAGTATTTTAGCCATTTTGCATGCTTAACCACATAAAAAGCTACTCGTCTTCTCAGACGTTGACAGAACTGCTTGCACTGCAGGTAGAAAACAAAGAATGACTTCGTTTGTTTTTATGTATGTATGAAGAAATAATTAATTCTTGCATGTGGGTTCTCTACCGTTCACCTATTCGCACTAATCCAAACCACAATTACCACGTTCTAGAGGGTATCAAGAGCTTTGTAAATATTTATATGATAAATGACAGAGGTACGGACAGCTACTGCTAGTGGCAGGCCGAGGGCGTTTGCGGCACATAATTAATGAAGAGGCAGTGGCTCAACAGTTTACAAGTGGCCAGTGTCGCCCATCTGCTGCACTAGGCAGTGGCTGTGCCAATGCAGCCGCCATCTCAAGATCCATGGCCGAGGGCTTTGGATGCTTATGCTGAACCTGGTTCCGGGTGCAGCAGCATGACTCGGTCCGATTGCGGGCCATGGTGAATGCTATATAAGCTCTGTTCTGGGCCAGAATGGAGCATCAGTTTCAGTGGAGGCAAGCTTCCAGCAGCAACACGACACAGAGTTCCTTTAATCAGTTCATCATGCGCTACGCCCTACTCGTTGTGTTCCTGTGCGGACTCCTCTTCGCCTTTGTCTCCGCCGGAGGCGGGGGTGGCGGTCAAGGAGGTTGGCAGAAGAGCGGTGGCGGCGGCCAAGGAGGCTGGCAGCAAGGAGGCGGCGGTGGTGGCCAAGGAGGCTGGCAGCAAGGAGGCGGCGGCAGGGGCCAAGGAGGCTGGCAGCAAGGAGGCGGCGGTGGCGGCCAGGGAGGCTGGCAAAAGAGCGGTGGAGGTGGTGGAAAGCACGGTGGCACTGGTGGTGGCCAGGGAGGCGGCAAGCATGGCGGCGGCGGCTGGTAATAGATATCCAACCCAATGCTACACAGGAAAACGAGCACACGATCACCTTCCAGCGATTGACCCTGCCAAGATATGGACACCCAAAAAACCCTTCTCACATATTTTCTTCTGATTTCTCCTGTTTCTAACTGTATTAATAAAGAAAGCTCTGCTTATCATTGTAAAAGCTAAAGTGAACGTTATAATTTGTCTATCGATCTCCTGGAAAGAGTATCGGCAAATTGGAGCAGCGATCGACGCAAATACGAGCAGCGCCAACTTATCGATAGGCCGCCCACTTAACCGAAATTCAAATGCATGGAAACGCACGCGGTTAAGACTCGTTTGCTTGTCATTATTTTATTATTCGTATTAATATTATTATTTCTTCTGACTTGATGGCTTTCTCGCGCTAGCGCTAGGGCTTGCGCTTGCACTTGTGTTTTGGGTTACTTATAAATGGTTTTTCTAATTTTTTCTCATACAGTGGCTGTCAAACCGTGGCTGTTCTCTGTTCTGCAATCTGCTTAAGCAATTTCTATCCTCGCTTTCTCTCTTGCATGTACTAATGCTAATTTTGTTTCATATTTGGTTTATTTTTGCTACGCCACACATATACACACATACAACGTACTTAATTTTTGCATTTGTATTTATTAGTGTTTTTTGTTTTGTTTTTGTTTTACTCGTTTGATTTACTTTGTTTTTCTCATGTTTCGTATTTATTTTATTTGTTTTATTTCATTTAGTTTCATTTGGAATGCGTATAGATAAAAACTTAAACAGATTTACTGCACACACATTGTTTATACGTTTGTTGACTACAAAAAAAAAAATATATCTCCAATTTAATTATATGTATATTTATGTATAATATATATATATATATATATGTATATGTATATATAGATTTCTGTTTCGCTCGTAGAATTTTTCAAGTGTTTAACATTGTGTTACATACATACAGACATACATATACACGTAGCTCTTGCCCCCGTTCTACCTTCGATCAATATAAAATTCATGTTGCCGCCTCCAGATGTTGCACCCTGCACATACTCGTACTAGCAGTGTCATTGTGTATACGTGTATATATTTCTATATAGTATATTTCATCAAAATATGTATTCATGCTAAAACCTGCAACTATTCCGGTCTCATTAGTGCTTTGGCTGTGGGAAACCAACTCTTACTCTTTCGTTTCTTTGTTCTCTAGACGTTTTTGTTTTTCCGTAGTTTACGATAATTAATTACAACAACATTTACTTTTGTATTTTCGTTTGATGCTTAGCCTAATGCATTTTCCATCCTAATGCAGCTTTACCCCTACCCCCCGTACTCTCCACAATCCGTCACCACAATCGATTACATCCCCATCGCTTTTCATTCGTTTTCATTCGTTTACATGTTTTGGTTTTTATTTTGCATTTGTTCTAAACAATTTATTTTTTCCTCTAAGTGATTCTTCGCCCAACTCGATCTATCATCGTCCACCATCCATTAATCCATTATCCGCTACTCTTTCTCTCTTTTTTTCTCCCCCTTTTTTTGGCAATGACGTACTGATTTTGTTGTCTCTCTTTCTCTCGTTTCAAAGCTTTTATTTTGCTACTTTCGTTAAGAGTTAAATGGTTTAAGTATGCTTCGATCTTCGTCTTTAAGTTATTTATAGCATGTATATCGGTATCTTTATCGTTATCGTTATCTTTATCTTTATCTGTAACTGTATAAAGTAAATAGATTACGTAATTGCAATTATGCATCTGATTCTCTACACACTCTTCCACACTCCTCCACCCTCCACCCTCCAACCACCAACCCTCCCTTCATCACGTTTTGTTTTTTGCTTCTTTTGCCACCCGCCAGACAGCTACTGCCTTACGGATTTTACGGATTGTTCTGGCTCTGTTAACATTTTGGATTTGGATTCGATTGGCTTTGTTTTGTTTGTTGTCGTTTGTATGGTATTTAGTATTATTACACAATTTATTGGATCCTGTTCTGGGCAAGGCTTTACTCCCCTCCGGGCTTAGTAAGTCGGTCGTAATTTGCTAATTTACATTTTCGATTTGCCCTTCAGAACTGAAGGAAGTGCTCGACGCTTAGCTTAAACAACAACAAAAAAATAGTAATAAATACATGCATATGATATATGTATGTTTAAAATGTATTATATATTATGTATTGTATATAAGTTAGTGTAAAAAAAAAATATTTGCATATGGATCAATAATGGTTAATCGAACAACAATTTCGTTAACATAAGTACACGGTAGGTGGACTGGAAGTACAATCAAATGGGCATTGAAGTGCGTTCAAGCCAGTTCAATGAGTAAAACTATAAATAAAAAAAAAACAAGACATTGGGGATATGGGGACATTCGCAAACAATTAATATAAATATTTATGGATAGGTCGGGCGGATATACAATACAGAGATATAGGGACCCTGGGCTCTGGCTATGGGATGGCCTCGATGGAAATTTTGTTGTATTTACAAAGACTGAGGGAGGAGCAGGAGCCGGAGTTGCAGTTGCAGTTTGGGGGATGGTTGGGGAGGGAGATTGGCTGCTGTTGGAGGTCTGTGGTACTCTGGTCTCTGATGCCAGTGGATCCTTATGACTCGTCCCGATTGTTGTGCACCCACTGGGCAGGCACCCACTGCGGCTCGCGCTCCAGCGAATTGATCTCGGCCAGCAGCTGGTGGTAGGCACGCTCCGTGTCATTGTTGATGATGATCATGTCGAAGAGATGGCCCCAACGTGCCTCCATGTCCCTGGCCGTGGCAATGATGTCTTTGAGCTCTTCCTCCTGCAAAATGAGTGAGTGATTGCGGGGATGGGCACACAATTCAGATGGAATACCGATGGGAGGACTCACCTTGAATGGTTCCCCATTGCGCAGCTTCTTTTGCCGCAGCTTGTCGAGGCTGGGGGGCGCCACCAGCACCACATAGGGCTTGAGGTCGGAGGCTCGCAGCAGCTTCAGGCTCTGTGGATGCAGATTCAGCACGCAGATCTTGCCGCTGGCCACCACCGTTCGTATGGCCTCCAGAGATGTGCCTGTGGGTTCGAATGGATTACTTTCCGTTCCGTGTTATGGCCTCGAGGCAATGTTCGACTCACCGTAGTAGGCCTTCTCGTACTCTCCGTGCTCGACGAAGCGTCGGGCCAGGATGTCCGCCTCGAAGGCCTGGCGCGTGATGAAGTGATAGTCGACGCCGGGCACCTCGCCCTCCCTCCGCGCACGTGATGTATCTGCAGGATGACAAAAACAGGAGACAGTTGAGCGGTTAGCAAAGAGACTGAGTGTGGTGTAGGGATGATGGAGGAACACCAGAAGCCTGGGCATAGCTAGCGATTGCTCTGGGATTCAGTGGCAGCGGCTGTGCTTTACCCTTGGCCTTGGTCTTTTTCTTGGCCTCCTTGAGGCGCTCCTCGAGCAGATAGAACACTGAACACAAGCGAGAAAGATCGTTAAAAACAGAGAGACAGCGAGAGACATAGAGAGAGAGAGAGAGAGAGAGAGAGCGGCAAGAGAGGACTCCACTTACGTGGCACTGCAGCGGAGAAGCGCTCCGAGTCCGCCATCAGGCGCTGGCGCAGCTCGTGGCGTCCGATGTTGGGCGGTCCGATGAGGACGATGGGCCGCTTGTGGGTGGCCCGCGGGTAGTAGAGGGCCACCTCCTCGTAGGTGAGTATCTCCTCGGGGTCGGTCTCATCCGGCGCCGTCGTGGCGTACAAGGGATAGCTGCAAGAGGGATCAGAGATCAGTTAGGGATTCTCTAGCCTGTGGCTACTGGCTTGTGACGCTGCTTACCCTGCCTCGGAGCTGGCCTTCTTCTTCTTTTTGCGACCCTTGCGCGCACAGAGCAGCGTGGCACCCTTGCTGCTGGCCCCATCCTTGCCACGGGAGCGGGCCAGGCCCGCCTCCTCGGCAATGGCCAGCTTCATCGTCTCGCGCTGGTGCTGGAACGACTGACTAGGAATGAGGCCGGCCAGCGTCTGGTCCTCCTCGCCCTCGCGGTACGCCTGCCACCAATTGGGATCCTCGCGGCTGATCACGTGCAGCACATCGCCCTTCTGGAAGCTGATGCCCAGCTCCCGGCACGGAATGTACAGATCGTCCTCCGGATCGTAATCGAAGTGCGCCCGCACATGCAGCACGGCCGTGTCCCGGTGCGCTCCCAGCCCCGAGCCGAGTCCGCCGCTGCCGGCCAGACTGCCAGGCAGGCCGAGGCCTCCAAGGCCCCCCGATGGTGGACTGCCCGCCGGCACGATGAGGAACGTCAGGGTGCCCTGCATCGCACCGAGCAGGGCGCACACCTCGTTCACCGTCTTGCCGCGCAGCTCCTGGCCGTTCACCTCCAGGATCTCGTCGCCCTCGTGCAGCAGGCCGGACTTTTCGGCGGCTCCGCCGCGCACGATTCGCCCAATGACCACCGCTTCGCCCTCGTTGCGCACGGTGGCGCCCAGCGGCTCTGTCGACTTCTCGATCTGGATTATTCGGATGTTGTCGTTCTGGTCGTTGAGTGTCCCAAAGCAGGCGCTCATCGGCATGGTCATGGGCATCGGCATGGGCAGCGGGGGAGGCGGCGGAGACTCGCCACGCGGCAGCGGCATTGCTCCGCGCTGCGCCAACGTTGGCGGCACCACTGGTGGCGGCACCACGACGCCGCCCATCGCTCTCTTTGGCCCCGTCACCGGACTGCTGGCACCGCTCATCGATCCCAGGCCACCGCCAGGCGTGGGCGTCGGGGTGGGCGAGGGCGTGCCGTCCGTGTGATTGGCGATGCGATCGTGGGCCAGCAGCAGGCCCTCCATCTCGTGGCTGGTGAGCAGGTTGCCCAGCTCAATGGCCGCCGCGGTGTTCGACTGCGTGAGCAGCTCCACGATGTCCTTCTGCAGGCCGAGGGCGTTGTGGTGCAGTGGGCCGCCGACGCGGGGTCGTCGACGCTGCAGGACGGCGGTGCGGGCGGCCAGCACGTGGGCCACACTGGCGCTGGCCAGGACGTTGTGGGCGGCCGACACCCGCCCGGCCAGCGTGCTGAGGCCGCTCTTGCTCAGCTGGCTCTGGAGGCGGGTTAGTGCCGCGATCAGCTCGCCGTAGCCTGGAAACAAGAGAGTCAAAGTCAGTCTCTGACCAGTGGAGAGCATTGAGATTGAGTACCCACCATCGATATGCTCTGGCTGGGGCTGGGGCTGGGGCTGTGGCTGTGGCTGCGCCTGATCATCATCCGGCAGATACGCCTCATTCTCCACACCGGCGGGCATGGCGGCTAGTCCCGCCGGAGCCGGCTGCTGCTGGGCCATGGCCATGGCCTTGCCAGGTGTGGCCGAGTCCTGGAGCGCCTTCAGCTTGCGTGAGCCACGCAGGCTGTTCCGCAGGAACTCATTCTGCTGCGCAATGCGCTCCTCCTCCTCGCGTCTTCGGCGCAGTTGCTCCTGTTGAAGATGGGGGGAGGGAGGATAAATATTAGAATGGAGTACGTGGCTCTGTGCTCTGGTTGTGGCTCTACCACTGGGCGTTGACTCTTAAGTGGCGCACTTAATCCGCACTCGCGACAATCGCGCTAATTTAATTAGCAGCTGAAGCAGCGATGGCACCTGAGCGGACATGCCACACAGAATCCAATGCCACAAAGAAGGTCAACATCGATCGGTGGTCGCCCATCCGCATACCCTGTAGTACCCAGTACCCAACTGCCCATCCTCTGCTTTGATTTGTCTGCAAAAAGGGAAAAGGAAGTGCCCATGTGGCTGTCTGTCTTGGGGCTTCTTTTAACCGATAAATTATGCAGATACTCCTCCAGCCCTGCCCTGCGGCAACTGCAATTGCTGGGTATCAGTGGCCCCGAAAGGGTCTTTAGCTGGTGGGTGGGCGAGTGGGTGGCTTGTGTTTCTTGCGGTCGGTGGGTGTGGCCCGTTGCATACCGCAGAAAATCCCATCGAGGACAGTCCCCTGCAGGGCAGGCCTCGACGATGCGTTAATGAGCGCAAAGCGGTTAACAAAAGGGTGGATGGGTGGTTGGGTGGTTGGGTGGTTGGATGAGTTGCATATAGTGCAGCCTGTGGGTGTGGCTGGGGTGGCGAATGTAATTATTGCGGAAGCACCTCAAGTGCCCCCTTCCCGTCTCTGCTTTTCACCTGTTCCGACAGCACAGTGTGGCAGGCTGTCGGTGGGTATTGATGCCACAGCTTATGCATGCGAGTGCGAGTGCGAGTGCGTACAATAGAGTAAATCCAAAGAATTGCCCCCAAATATGTTACGCACTTGTCAAGCTTGTGTGGGCCTTCCCTTAATCAGTAAACCAATTGTGAAATGGGAAACATGGGAAGTTCCACTTTCCACATCTTTCGATGTGCAAATGGCATCTAGCAATACGCAATACCCTCTTGAAGAGTACAAAATCACCATAGAACAACAACAGCAACAAAAAGACAAGAAAGAAAAAGAAAGAAAAACACAACGGAATTGAATAACAACAGAACAACAACGCTCGGAATTCCAAAAGGCGGAAGAGCCCACACAAAGAGAAAGAGGAACAGCAACAAAAAAACAACAATAAAAAAACGGCAACTAAGAAATAATAAAAATTCTGCTAAGCTTGCATAATAATTCGAAGGGGAGCGGAACGGAACGGAACCCGTAGAGCAAGAAAAGCGAAGAGCAAAAATTCCAAACAACCCAACACACAGCTAGAGAATCAGCAGAAAATTTCAAGCACCTCTGATAAATGCTGTACCGACACCCCCACACCCCCACATACCCCCTCGACCAAAGCAACCGCTCCTCCCTTGACCCCATAGCAGGGAGGTGAGGGTCAGCCTCATATAAACCTCCCCCATGCAGCAGCACCAACACCATCTTCACCTGTAACAGGCACCCGTAGCCAGCGCTAACCATGTGAACCGAAACTAAGATTGGAGAGCAGTGGCATTGGAGGTTGAATGAAAACAGATGACAGAGACACGAGAAAGAGACAGAGAGCAAAAGATATCAGAAGATACACTCGCAGATAGCACTGGAGGACGCACAACACAAAAGGCTCAAAGAAACAAGTTTGAATGTTTTCTATGTCACTCAGTGGATCAGCTGTTTTAATTCGAAGAGCTGCCCCGCTGGCGCCTATCTGTGTTAATTTCATGGCTCTGTTTTCACACTTCTTAAACTATATTCATCTTCATGGAAAAGGGGAATTAGTTTCAAGCAAAATTGTCAGTGGGACAACGAGAGGACGCCCATTAAGTGGAGTACCTCTAAAACTGCAAAATGAAATCAAAGTTTGGCATGAAATCGCTACTCTACCCCCTTAAGCCATAAACGGGAGTACTTGTCGTATCATCGAACAAAGTGCTTTTGATATTTTGAATGCCAGTTAAGTTGGGGACATCAGTGAAAGTAGTTTTATCATCCAATGACATCCTTTCACAGTCCGGAATGGAAGAGCTACTAAACATGTTACATTTGACTGTGGGTTTGAGCCAATAAAAGCACAGGGAATAAATGAAGGAATAACTTTTAAGACTTGAGAGCCAGAGCTACTCGCACTCTCGTAAGAATGAGAATCTTTGGTGGAGCTAAAGTCATCGAGTGTATTTGTGGAACAACAACAAAAAACCCGAGCTAAAACTCCCACACAAATCGAAAACGTGGAAACACTTGGCACCGTCCGTACCTTTTGCTATTCATAGATCAAATGAAGCCTACAAAAGCTTCTTACCTTAGCTCGGGCCGGCCATCAATCATCTGACAGCAACAGCAACCCGTAACACCAGAAACTTTAGTAATTGTTAAGGAAAAACACACCACTAACAAATGGAGGAATGCCTTAAAAAGCAACAAAAACCGTTGGCGGCAAAGCCATGACATCATCGTCATCATCATCATCGTCGAAGGTAGAAACAACAACGACGGCCGGCACAAATAAATATTGAAATTGCGCGTACAATAAAATTAAAAATATATTAACGCTGATACCCTCTACCCACAACATGTCCAAAGGGTCTACTCAGCCAAGACGTGCACTTGCTGTCCGACTCTCTGTCGATCTCCCCATATGGATAAAGTGTCTGCCAGTGCACCTTCAATCCGATAAAAACATATATTTATCAGTACAATAAATCACTCGTTTAGGAGTGAGCGGTGCTTAAACAATTCATTATTCCTATCTTGATTTCTTGATTAAGTCTTTTTATCTGCCTCGGAGCCTGTGGCTCGTCCTCCTTTTGTATTGGAAATGTTTGCACCATTTCAAAATTCAAAGAATTTGTTTTGCGCATTCTCACGAATGTCCTTTAGCTTGTGGTTAATATATTTGCTCCTTAAGAACATAAGAGAACTGTCAGCTAAGTGTACCCTGTGGAGATAACAAAGTAAGTGAACCAAATGCCTGTAGATGCCTGTAGAAAGAGAATGCGCTTTCTCTCCCTGTCTGATTAAGTTCCCTCTCTTTAGCACTAGTTCTATCCTAGTGAGATCCTCTCATCACACTGTGGATTCGAATAGAAATATAGAAACTGAGTGCTCGTTATCTAAGGCATCGTTCTGACTGGTTTCTGGTTTGTGTAATTTTTGTATGGTATTTTTCGTTTTAATTTTTTATTGCTTTAACGCCTAGGCGAGAATTCACTCAGCGGCAGCCAGTTAGCCTACTTGTCAACTGGTTTTCGTGTTGGTGTTTTGCAGTTGTTTTTTTGCTTTAGTTAGCATACACTCAAGATACATGTGTATGTATCTACATGTATGTAGATAAAGGCAGCTGTCGATAAACCCCGAGCCACTTGCCTGTTGTTGCCGCAAACGTGTCGAGGATCGTTGGATTTGATTGCCGCGACGCAGGGCGGAGGCGCTACGCTGGGGCGTGGCCATCGATGTGGAGGCGATCGATGGTGAAGGTGATCCTTGGATGGCATCCAGTTCTACACCAACCAGCACCCCCACCCCCACACCCACTCCCATTTCAATTTCCATTTCCGTTCCATTGCCATTCATATCGAAATATTGGCTGCTGTTGTTGTTGAGTTTAGCATTTTCCTTCTCCTGCTGTTGTTGAGATTGTTGAGATTTGTTCGTGTTGTTGGTGAAATTATTGTAGTTATTGTTGTTGGAGTTATTGTTAATGTGCTGACTGTTGCTGCCGCACAGAACCGAAAACTTCTGGGGCGTATTCTCTACCACAGGCACTCCAGCCGCGTGTGGCACATCCACCACGTTGTTGCCGTTGTTCTCCAACGTAATGCTCAGTGTTGAGACAACCATTTTGCTGCGGCTGTTGTTGTTAGTTACGTCTTTGATTAGTGTGTCATTTGGTTACACTGACACTGGCATTTCACTTTCATCGATCGATCGTTGGATCGTTGGATCGTTGGATCGGTCGGTCGGAGGCAGCTCTCTTTTCTGGCAAACAAAAATTTCTGTTGGTCATACACCAAAGCTGGAACAACTGTGGAGACAGCAGCAGCAACAGCAGCATTGGTGCAGTATGCAAATGGCCCCTCAATGTCCACCCACCTGGCCAAATGCATAAATTTGAATATGGAACTGTCATTTCAGCTCTTTTCAGTTGCAGACCCAAATGAAATGCAACTTAATGCGCATTTCAAGTTGAATCGTTGCTGCTGCTGCTGCTGCTGCTGCTGCTGCTGCTGCTGCTGCTGCGCTCTAGCGAAAGTTCTACATTCTCTCCATCTGCTGTATGTAGTCGCATTTTTTGTATCTTAGCCACGACGAAAACAAACAAAATTATTCATGCTTTCCATTCAACAGCAGGCGGCACTGGAAATGCCCGTGCATTTTTACAACTATTTCATTTAACAAATTTGTTTATTTGTATATTTATTGCTTCGTTTTTTGTTTTGTTTTTCAGCCAGCCATCCAGCCATCCAGCCTTCCCCTTGCATTGTTATTGCTGTTGTTGTTATTTTAGCTGCTGCTGGCGACGTGCCTGGCTTGGGAAATGAGCAGCCGCCGTTGACGCTGCATTTTCATTCGGAATAACAATAACAGAAAAGCACAGAAAGTGGTTGTGGAAGGGGGAAGGGGGAAGGGGGGTAGGCGAACAGAAACCAAAAAAAGGTAAAACTACAGACAAAAATAAAGAGTTCACCTCAACTGTTTATCATTCACGCGGATATTATAATTTGTGGCTGCCTTTGTTCTGCACTCTCGATAATAAAAATCGTGCGTCAGAGCAAAGCCCAAGAAGATTGTTTTTTGATAAAATGCGATCTAAAAATCATTGCAATAATAGGGAATAAACAATGCAAACAAGTGGCTGTTAGTGTCTGGCTTTGGTCATATTTCAATCAAGTTTTGGCCTCTATTTTGTTTATATTTCATTTTTAGATCTCTCCTAATGTACTGCATATTTATGAGTGTTTTATTTAATTTATCAGCAATAGCATCACATTTCGTCTCTTCCACTTTTATGGAAATTTGTTCACACTTTGGTGTCCTGTGTATCCTGGCCACACTGTTTATTCACCGTTATCATACTTGATTGCACTCTCGTTTTTTGTTTGTTTGTTGCTTTTTCGAAAATAGTTTTCTCAACTTTTGTCGAGTGATTTTTTACGAGGTTTGCATGTGCCTCCTGCATTCCTGTCTACTGCCTCCTGCCTACTGCCTACCGCCTCCTGCCTTTGGCATTTTGTATTTTGTACATTCCCGTTGGCTTTGGTTACGCGAGCATTCCGTTATGGCTGCAACTGCAAGTACTCGCACCACGCCTTGATTTGCCCCTTTTTGGCGCATAAACCGTTGTTGAATTGCTGTCGTTTTTTTTTGTTTGGTTTTTTTGTTTTTTCGAGTGCCTTTGGTGTGGTACGTGCTTTGGCAAAAGTGAGAATTTTTTGGCTTTTATGGTTTATCAAGCCACGCCTTATTTGCACCGTTCGGATTGCAAAAACACACACGGATTACGCCACAACACATAAAAAAAACATACACAAAAAAAGTATCAAAGTGCCTGGCACAGTGGCTTTCAAACTGCACCGTCGAGGCAAATGGAATCCTTGATCGGTTTAGTAATTCACAATTTATAGAGGCAAACTGCCCTCCAAGAATATTTCTGAATCTTTATCTTATCGCGACTTAATTTGCTTCGAATTTTATTATTTGGTAACGCACTTGGCCCGAAACGATGTTGGAGCTGGGAGGGGGACGAACAAAAAAAACAACAAGAATATATTTTCTGCGGCCGATCGCCGAACAACTAAAAACGCGACTGCGAAATCATAACAAACGAGCGCCACACACGGCAGCAAAGCGACAGGCCGGTAGACAGCAGCAGAGCACCGTCGCGACGGAAGCGACAAAGCGACGGGCAGAGCTTCAGCTTTAAGCACTGTCCAAACGAGGCACCACATTCACATTGTTCTGCGGGTAAGCACCAAGCAGCCAGAGAACCCAAACACACTTGTCCGTTTACCCCCTGGTCCAAAAGATTTAAAGAATCATTTTTGTGTATCTTGACCATAGCTTTGGGTATATTTAAGCGATTCATTGCTCTTTTACGCACTCAAAGACGCACTTACAGAGGCTCGTGCATATTCAAATGATATTAATTTTCGGTGCAAAGCAGCGTCTGCTTCGTTTAGACAGTACTCGGGAGCGAGTGTGCTGAGAGAGAGAGAGAGAGAGAGCAGCTGCAGCAGTGGAGAGAGCACAGCAGAGCAGGTGTGTGAAAGAGCAAGTGGCGGGGGGAAGAGCGAAAAGAGTTGAGCTGCCATCCGTCGGCATGTGAGAGCGTAAGCGAGGAGGGAGTTGGGGGAACTGCGAGAGGTGTAAGCCGGCTTAAAACGCACTCTGCTTTCGGCTGCATCTGTATCTGTGTGTCTCTGTGTATTCGTGTATGGGCAGGTATCTGACTCAGTATCTTGCTTACAGTTCGCTCTCCACAAAATTCGTTTAATGTTTAACTAATTTTCGTACTTTCGACACGTAACAGCGAGAGTGGGCATAGAAAAAGTCGTGGCGTGGCTTCGCGCAGCGTGGCGGGGAGAGGAAGAACTCTAGAAAAAAAAGAGGCCTCTCAACAAAAGCAAACAAAATAAAATCAAAATCAAACAGGTGAAAAAATTACAAACAAAATCGCAAAAAACAAAGGTGCGCTATCTACATGCACATGCACACAGTCGAAAGTATGCCAGAGGCGATCGCGATAACAGCGAGCGATAAGAATGCTGGCCATGATAAATTTCACAAATATGCATTGATAATTACCATGACAGAAAGAGCCCAAAAAAAAGGCGCTTATCATGTTGTACTTCGATTTCGAGCAACATTCATTTGCCACCAAATAAAACGCCAATCATCGACAATGAACGATAATTATTTCAGATTAATTAATGTGTATGCTCAATTTTCAGAGATTTATTCAGAATAAGTTTCCCTGCAAGCTACCTTCTGCCATCTCTTTTCCCGAATTTTTTCAAAGAGCGAACGTTATGCCAGAGTACATTTAATATACAATTATTGGCATTCTTCATACTTCATAACTTAATATTCTCTTCAGACTCTCACCGCGTGTTGATGCTCATGCAATCAAAGTCAATCCGTGTCATCCAACAATCCAATGTTTTCGAACTCCTTCATCTCACGCTCATATATTCTCCTAGAAATGTATGTACACATATATGAATGTGGTTTGTTTTCCATAGTTTCTGGAACTCTGTTTGGCTCCCGATGCTCACTGATTTCTCCTTCAGTTTTCAATTAATTTTATGCATTTATCTTCCGCACTGCCACGCCTACACATATGCAGAATAGGGGGCAACAAGTAGGAGGAGCGTAATTTTTCAGAGAGAAGTCCGCAGGCGGAATGAAACAATTCGATTAAAAAGTTGCATAATTAATCATTGCATTAAACAACTTTTTGCCACCCTACTCCCACGCCTCGGGGTGTGTGGGCGTGTGGGCGTGGGGGCGTGCCACCCACCATCACACGCCTTGCAGGCAGCCAAATGAATGCAAAATGTTATACTTTTTAACAGCATTATAATTTTCCTTTCTTCCGCTTTGGACAACAGCAAAACCTACCCCCTACCACCCCCCC